GACTAGGAACACTGGCTGGAGTATGAGAGAGCATTGATGATGATGGATGAATGGTTGAGTACCTCAAAATTGTGATGCCCCTATCTTACATCAGCATGATCTCCAATATCAGTGCTAATATCCTGAAAGGATATGACATATGGAAGGCCAGGATCACAGAAATGAACAAGAAAAGACTGCAGCAGAAGGCAGCCAGTGCTGGGATTATGATTGACCAGAAGAAAACAACTCTGATGTCCAATGGAAAGTCCACCAGTAGTACTCCAGCAAAATCCAGCACTGCCACCACCTCCTCCTACACCACACAGAAGAAAGAGACTGGAATGACATATACAGAGAGTGAGAAGCTGATGGACATAGATCAGCTCAAGAAGGAGAGCAAGTGTTTCAACTGTGGGCAGAAGGGGCATATGTCTAGAGACTGTCTGAGGAAGAAGCAAACCCAAGAAGACATACAGGTGCAAATCACAGAACTGCAGAAAGAAGCAGAGGGACTGAAGGACTTAGGCACAGATACCAAGATGAAAGAGGTAAAAGACAGAGCCAATGAGTGAGTGATTCCACTTGGTCAGCCAAAGAACTTAATGGTGTGTCAATAGTAGCCATGGGTCAGACTCATATGCCTTATGTAGATACTGCTATTTACACACATTTGAATATACCCTGAGTTTCCCTGACTACTCCCACACTCAAAGAATCACAAAAACCCAAGACTCAACTGCCTATAGGCTGAACAGAAGGAGAGACCCCCACTGGCTGGCTGAAACCATTTGAAACTGAATGGACCTGGTGGGCCATCAGCAAAGCCCAGACCAGAGAGGAGGCTGAAGCAACTTTACAAACCTGGATCCATTGAACCCAGGTCAGTGAGGTGGATGATGAATTGATAAAAGAAATACAGAATGCAGGGCAGGAGAAAGCTCTGGAATGGCTAGATGAACTGTGAGGGCTAAAGAAGTTTATCCAATGACAAAAGGCTTATGGTCAGGACCTGACAACCAAGGTGCAGATACACACTTGCACCAATCAAGCCATGTTTACAGTCACCATGCTGATTGACAGTGGATGCACCAGGAGTTCAATCAACTGAGTCTTTGTTATCAAACACAGGCTCCCAACAAAAGGCACCATCACTCTCATCCCCATCTATTATGCCAACAGAACAAAGAACAAGCCAGATTGATCACTGAATTCATAGAACTTCATCTAACATTCAGAGACCATTCAGAAAGGATCAACTTGGTGGTCACTGACCTAGAAACAAAGGAGCTATTCCTTGGCCATGACTGGTTGATATATCACAACCCACTCATCAACTGGAAAACCAGATGAATCACCTTTATCTAGTGCCAATGCAGAAAAACTCTTTTCACTCTGCTGGACATGGACTCAGAGGACCAATGGGATGAAGAGATGGAGGATGGTGAAACCATCCTTGCCATTGATGCTGATAAAGCCCTGCATGCCAGAGTGATCCATCATGCTAATAAATTGGCAGCCAGAGCAAATGAAGGGAAGAAGGAGAAGATGTTCAAGGAAATGGTCTCTGAGTAGGCATGTGACTATCAAGACCATGCCATTGAATTGACACTGAATGCAAACATGAACCTGGACTGCCAGGTTTACCCTCTCAGACATCAGAAACAACAAGAACTGGACAAATTTCTGGATGAGAATCTCAGCAGCAGGCAGATTTGGCCATCCAAGTCTCTGATAGCCTCTCCTTTCTTCTTCATCAAAGAGAAGGATGGTAAACTCCAGCCAGTATAGGACTATTGCCAACTAAATGAGATGACTATCACAAATCAATACCCTCTATCACTAATCTTGGAGCTGATGGACAAACTTCAGAGCATTCAATACTACACAAAACTTGATGTCTGATGGGGGTATAACAACATGCAGATTAAAGAGGGAGACAAGTGGAAAGCAGTGTTCTCTACCAACTGAGGACTTTTCAAGCCAACTGTCATATTCCTCAGCCTTACCAACTTCCCAGCAACCTTTCAATGGATGATGAATGATATCTTCAAGGACTTAATCACCACTGGAAAGGTAATAATTTACCTGGATGATATACTAATTATGTCCAAGGATCAAAATGAACATTGACAGTTGGTAAGACAGGTGCTCAAGCTAATGAGAAAACACAAATTGTTTCTCAAGGCTGAGAAGTGCAAGTTTGAAGTGCTGAAAACTGAATACCTCAGAGTCATTATCAGCAAAGAAAGTATATGGATGGATCCAGTTAAAATAGCCAAAGTGATGGAATGGCCAGAACTGACCAAGAAAAAGAAGTTTCAATCATTCCTTGGATTTTCTAATTTCTATTGACAGTTCATCCATGACTATGGCAGGATTGTCCAACCTATGACACAGCTTACTGGGAACACCCCATGAGCATGGAGACCCTCCCAATAAATGGCCTTTGATGATCTGAAAAGGAGATTGACCAAGAATGTTGTCCTGGCCATACCTTTCCAGGAAGAAAGATTTAAAGTAGAGGCCAACTTGAGCAAGGGGGCCACCAGTGCTGTACTTTCACAGAAGCAGAAGAGAAGGTGGCAACCAGTAGCATTTCTCTCCAAGGCACTCTCAGTCATGGAGAGAAACTATAAGACCTATGACAAGAAGCTACTGGCCATCATGTTGGCATTGGCAGAATAGTGACATTATCTGATTGGGGTGACACAGACATTCAAAGTCTGAACCAATCATCAGAACCTATGCTATTCCTGTCTCTCTCTAAAACTGAATCAACAACAAGCCCAATGGGTAATGGAACTCACTAAGTATGACTACACTCTGCACCACAAAGCAGAGGTGACAAACAAGAAGGCAAACCTACTGAGCCAACATGCTGATCATAACCAGAGAGGGGAGGACAACAAAGAGGTGGTATTATTAAAACCAGAACATTTCTATGCCATGATAATACCAACTGAGGAGGAGATTCATACTAAGATATGCAGTGTGACATGACAACCCAGGTTGTGGGACTAAGATATTGCAATGTCACTAAACTATGAAAGAGGCATCATGAAAAAGGAGGACCTACTCTACTATGATAGGCACATTTATATTCCCTGACCACCCATGCTTCATGGAGAAATCATTGCCCTGTCACATGACCATGCCATAGTGGGGCACTCAGGAATCTCCAAAACAAAGGAGTTAGTATTGCAAGAGTAATAGTGGCCAAAACTGGAGTAAGATGTTGGGAAGTATGTAAAGAGATGTGAGACTTGCCAGAGGACCAAATCATCAATGTGAGCCTGTTCAGCACTGCTACACCCAAATGAAATCCTGATGACCCTCTAGATCCATATTTCCATCAACATAATCACTGGTCTTCCTGACTGCAATGGCTATGATGTAATCATCATCATAGTTGATCAGTTCTCAAAGGCTATTATTCCAGTGGCCTGCTCCACTGAGCTATTCTTAGAAGGGTGGGCCAAAATCCTCAGGGATGAGGTCTACTCTAAATATGGAATGCCACAAGTGGTCATTTTAGACTGAGGACCACAATTCATGTCCAAATTCTTGGACAACTTATACTAACTTCTTGGGATTTGAAGTAATGCCTCCACTGCATACCACCCACAGATGGATGGACAAATAGAGCATATCAACCAAGAACTAGAAAAGTACCTGCAGATGTTTATTAACCATAGACAGGACAACTGACAGAATGGCTGGCACTTATCAGTTTCCAACACAACAATCATGTCCACTCTGCCACAGGGAAAACTCTTTTTTTCATCAATCATGGATGACACCCTAAGATTGCCATCACTACCCATTTCCACACCACCACTCTCACTTCTCTTGATTTTGCCACCAAAATGGCAAAAATTCATGGTGAAACACAAACTGCACTCAAAAAGGCTGCAGCTGCAATGAAGGCACAATATGACAAACACTGATGGGGAGCATATAACTATGCTATTAATGACAAGGTCTGGCTCAACATGATCAATCTTCATCTTTCATGCCCAAAATAGAAGCTGGCTGATAAGTGGACTGGCTCATTCCTCATCATATCAAAGATCAGTGCTTCAGCATATAAGCTTTGACTTTCTATCTCATAGCATATCCATGACACCTTCAATGAATCCCTGTTAACCTCATATATCATTTCCACTTTCCTGAACCAAGAATGACTCCTACCACTGCCTCCTAACCTTATTGACAATGAGGAACATTATGAGATTGACCAAATCCTCAATCACAAGATGCAATGAGTCAAAGTGAGAGGAGAGGGAATGATGACAACCACAGATTACCTCATCAGTTGGAAGAGGTATGGACTGGAATCTAACCAGTAGGTCAATGAGAAGCAAATGAATGCAGACATGGCTATATACAAATATAAATTATCTCTAAATTAAGCCATCAGAATGATGGTCTTAAGGAGGGGGTAATGTTATGATTTTCTATCTTTTCTTTTCTTTTACCTTTATTCACACTTAGTCAGGGCATCTAGACCAGTGCTTAAGACCATGGGACAGTCTTAGTCAACACAAGACTATTGTCTTGTGACATGTAGTGACACCCTGACAACAAGACAACTAGACTTTTGTAGGTAACCACCACACTCCAGGATGATGAGTATTATAGCCTAACAGATTGATGAGAGAAATGTGTGGAAGGAGGGTGCCTTGCACCAAGAGGATGTTGACAGCATCATGAAAGGAGTGTACAAGGTTTATAACCTTCGGTTCTCATGAGAGGGTAGCTTTGACTGGATCGGTGACCAGACGTCGACAGTTATTCCTTTGTAAAAGAAAAATGAAACATGTCAAATTCCCCGATTGTTAACAACATTCTGTCAGTGGATGAAACCAAGAGTTCGTGCTCATACTTGAAGCATGTTGCTATGAAGACAAGTCTGGACCGATGAGGACTGATACTTCAGCTGACGGGCTTCCTCAATCCTAAACAGCAAGGGGCAAGGGCCACGATCATTCCACCATGACATTGACGGAATGCTACTGCTAACCCCGCTTCAAAGCCGCCAGACGATGATTTGTATCGACACTCAATTCTTCGTATTTCCTGAGCCTCCCAATAGCTACGTCTTTCAGCTTCCCATACGTGCTGCACGTCCCGACCGTTGCCATCAGTGCCCTTTCTAGCTCGTGCGCAGTATACTCCCTCTCCCAAATGAACTCGACTGCCTCAAGGTCAGGGAGGAACATGGGATTAGCCCCAATATGGGCGGCCAACACCTGAGAGACAAGACAATACGGGATGAAGCTGCCTGTCACCGGGTCCCAGAGCTCGAGGCACGTTAACCTGGGGACGGCAGAAAGAATGTCGATGAGACTCAACCGCCGAATCTGAACTTTTTCCGACGTGAATGAAGGAAGAGACTGCAAGCATGCGATGAGGAAATCTCTCACTGACTCTGCGGTGAAGGGGTACTGGATCACGTCGTTGACGTATTTCAAGGTTAAAAAAAACACAGATGTAGTAAAGAGAGATTGAAAAAGTGGTTCTTGACCTTGCTCTGGCTGGAATAGTCGACGCAGAGTGTCAATGAAGTCAGGAAAGACAGAGAAAGCGTTGGTGGAACGTCACAGTCGCGGGGATCGGCAGATGCAATTTAGAGTATAAGGTCGCAAATGTACGGGAAACGCAGAAGGGCGCGTCGTATCGTGAGAATACTACCATTCATAATCTGTCCGTGACTGAGGCGACCAGAGATGGCTAATTAGCAGATTCTGTTGAAAGGGAAATTGGTGAGCGATAAGTTTGCAAGGCTGTGACAACAGCGACCACCGTGAAGATGGATGTTGCGGAAATTGGAAGTGAATGCAAAGGGCAAAGGTGGGTGACTGGTAGAGCATTGTATATCCTGGGAGGACTATGGTATCCACCGTCTTCAAACACTCGGCTCCTATATCCAACACACGGTACAAACTTCGGTCTAGCTCCCCCCCAAACAATCGAGCTTAAAACACTGATATCCTTCCATCCGACAGCCTGGCAAAGCAGATGAATCTGCCTATCACTGACTGGGAAGAATCAATCGGGAGGAGGAGGAGGAGGAGGAGGACCTTTCGATGGGGGAGGCTTTGTGCTCTTGCATACGAAAATGCTGATTAACTGCCACCGCGAACGATGTACATAGATGTTCATGGTCTCTTCATGAATCATCTCATGATGAGCACGGTCGGAAGGTCCAGGTTCGCCGTCCCTTGGCACTTTGGTTGAGTGAAGGAGTGCAATATTAGTCCAAAGGCGACAGGAGCACAGCGACAGCGCATGCCAGTGTGAGCAAACGAGTGACAATTGCAGAGCGATGTACGGATATCTGGGATATGAATTTTGGGGGTGTTTCGGCATACAAGTGGAGAAAGATTTCCAAAAGAATGTCATCGTTCAATCGCGGAAATAAAGTCCTCCTTGGACATTGAACAAAGGCTAAACCTTCCCAGCAAAAGAAATGTCAACATGTAATACAAGGTGGAAGAAAAAAATACTCACATTATATCTGAATCCTTCGAAAAAGAGGAGGCCCAGATAGTATTGGATAAAGGAAATGCTGACTCAGAGAGCTGAGGTTACCCGGACCACTTTGACCTTAATCATGTGATGTGACTGTCATAATTGCAGCGGGCCGCACTCCGCGTTTCTTGCTCCTTCCAGTCTGCCAACCATGCAGTACTTGCAAGGAAGGAAACAAATATGGTCTGGCCGCTTGCCCGAAACCTAGCTATGATCTTCCAATTCTCTTCGTGGCACTGAATCGATGTACCGCACACACCCTTGAACAGCCTAACTGCGGTAAGCCAAGTGCAATGCGGCAAAGGCATTACTGATGTTTGATATACATTTCATCTCATCTTCATACTCACCCTGCCTCAGTGTCATAATTCATTGGAACTACAGCAGTCAGTCTCTGCGAGGAATAGTCAAACACTCGAAGCAAATCCAGACGCAAATTTTCTGCATGATGCATTGATACTAAATCTGAAAAGTGCTTATTGATCAGACTTCCATTCCTCTACGACTTTCATACAGCCTTTCTCCTTCGACTCGTCTGTGGCATATGTCCTGGAACGAGAAGCTGGTTCGCCTTCGCCCACCGGATCTTTGAAATACGTGCTCCATCTTCAATTAGATCGGTGGCGCCCGCTAGTGCCAAAATCATTCACCATGCCATCTTCGAGCTGATTGTTGCCCAGCAGCCAAAATATTCATGTCCAGCGGAAATACGCTTCTATCCTTCGGCCAAACATCCTTTCGCTTAAATACCGTCTTTCTCTTCGACTGGCCTCCATTCTATCTACCGTTCATGGACCGACCTCTTGTCTTCGACCTGCGCTCCTCGAGCGCTAGGCAGTCCAAGTCCCTTCACTTCCCACGCATCCGTTCCCCCATCCCACGCCCGGAAAAGCCGCGTTCCTTTCTTTTTGCTCTCAATCGCATTCGTCGGAGGATCCTCAGTAGCCTCCTTTCCCATCGTAGTCCAACCCGGATTCCCATACCGGCACCCATCGTTGAACAAAAGGTGCAATCTGAAGTGATGGTCCTCTCAGCGAGACCTGTGAATGTCCAGGTCAAGTTGGTGCCGAGAAAGGTGCACTACGAGACAGTCCGTCGACGACAGCATCGAGAAGAGCCTGCTCTTCACATCTTTCAGCCTTTCCCTGCTCCTTCTCGGCATCCCAAACGTCCTTCCACAGCACCACAGCTCCAGAATTCTAGTTCCGGCAAGCACGCCGATGGGTTCATTAGAAGGAAGGAGAGGAAGAACGTGTGGAGTGGGGAATGGAATAGAACGGATATAAGGGATGTCATCAATGATCTGAGAAGTCTGAGATAATTTCTGCTTTCCGTTGTGCTCATGGTGTTCGCACGATTTTTTAGTTGATCATTGTTCATCCCTTCACGTCGTTTTTGTTGCACTTTCAATCACTGTCTTTCGATTCCCATCTTCCTCCTTGCTTCACTACTACTGTTGTTACAGAAGTGTATTGGTGCACCGTACTGTAGTATATTATTTATTCGACTTGTACGCTGTCGCCTCCATAATAGGACGTCCGTAGTCCCCCATTCGTCATTTCACAGATTTGCAGATCGAGCGACTCAGACGCGAGTCCGATGGCATCCTTTGATAACGAAATGACGGCATATCACGCTAAAAACATCGAGCCATCATTTCAGTTATCAAGGCATGATATGGCGACTATTTATCCTCTGTATTGTTCTATCTCGAAATTGGCTTTCTTCGAAGTTTCCACATGCTCTTCGCTTGATAATGAAAGAAGACCGGCAGTTTTATGGAATGCATACGGGACGGGAAGAAATACGGTGCCCACGTACATGAATAAATACAGGAATACCACAGAATACAACACTGTGAGCGGGAGGTAGCCAGAACGATAAACATTTGGATCGCACACCAGAACCATCCGAAGTACGAAACAGAACCCTGAAAGATGACACGGACTGGCCCACCCAACCACTCAGGCATTCACAGAGAATGAACGATAACCCTTGCGGCCGCCACGACTCATGGCGTCGGTCACCGCCATAAACGTCACGGAGAGACTAAAACAACCATGAGTGTTTGTGACGTTCGAAGAGACTACCGTTGGGACCCTGGGATGGTGAGCAGTGAGCGAGAGCAGGGTACACGATAGAGATAAAGCCTACACCAGCCTTCCCTTTTATATCTCATTTGAAGCCCATCACGCAACGGTACGTGATAATGTCGCCCGGTGTGAATTTCTCGTGCCGAGATCACTTAGTTCGGCTAAACTTCTCATCGGGACCGTCGAAACGGCGGATACCTGCGAGATAAGTAGGGGATACGTGATTGAATGGACTGTAAGGGATTCAGTTACGTGCACCAGGGTCGAGGCTCGCTGTATATTCCCTAGATGGGGTCATATCCATGCTATGCACGAAAAGGATCATTTCTGGGTTAGGGAAATGTCGTGCAGGAGCAAGTTCGGAGTGGGGCCTTTCGAGGAATCTGTCTTTCAATTGAAAGGCGGCGTCAGTACCGCCGCTTTAACGGCCGTGGCGCACAGATAAGACAAGAAAAATGTTCGCGTAGCCGTGTGCTAGGTAGAGATCGAAAGGAAACGCGTCAATATAGTAGAAGGGCGAAAGAAAGGACTATTACAATGTAAAGCTTGTGGAGTGTGACCCTTGTGGGAAGCGGCCCCAGATCGTGACTGAGGGTCACTGCCAATAGGATCAGATTGATTTGTTGGCGTCAATTGAATGTGTGTTATTATAGATCCGGCTTTCTTGGTAAGCAGCTGTTTCATACCAAGCAGAAATTGACCAAGATGCATGCCAGATAATGGATAAAGTTTTATTTAGGAATCTTGAACGTGGCAAAATCGGCGTCTGTATCATCAGAAGAAATTTCGATAAATTTTGCTGCGGTCAAACATTATTATTTCTATGCTTGAATTTCCGAAACGCGAATTTGTCGTCTGCCGGACAAGTCAGTTGAATTTCCGCTTTGGACCAAGTATGGTCTCTCGGCATCTTATCAAAGTCCATGAGTGAAGAAATCCCGACGCCAAGACCGGTGATACCACTGTTGCTTATTCTTGACTTCTTTTGCTCGAGAATCCCTATAATCACAAAATACTTTTTGTACACGGACGCAACAAATTTCTTCAAGTTTTCAATTAAGAATCGTGGATTTCCCCCCAGGATGCCATGAACGAAACTGGTGATCGGGCTACACTGGTTCACAGTATATAAGGCAGCATTCTCAGGCGACGGAGAATCTCCCAATCGACGTCGACGTCTCCAATTCCACTTGTCGAGCTGAATAATGGCACGAAGATACCGATCGTAGGTATGTGGTACGTCTGTGTGCGATATCCTTGCGCGATGTAACATTCATGTGTCTAGGTGCTGGTAGCGCTTCTAGTAGCCTGTCCACAGCCGAGGCGTGTAATGCCGCTAAGAAATGGATCTTGACGATGATTCAGGTGAGTTTCTCTTATTAATAGATCCACTGAGCGTCATCAAAAGTGGGATATAAGCATATTGAGACAGCCCTAATCTATGGTCTGGAATACGGTTTCATCCCCTATTTTCTTACAGAATTTGAATCAAGACCACAGGTACAGAGAAGGTCATCCGGCGAGGCGATTAGAGAGTCTGGTATTTCCCGACAGGAGTTTTCATCACAACCGAACTGCCATACGCCGTCTCCCCATTGTCTTTTTCAGGTCCACTGACTCGCATGGCACATTGCGGGGTGTGATGGTCATACTGAAGAACGAAAACGAACAATGGCAGAAGGAAAACATCACCGTCAGTGGTTGCGGTTTTCTTTTTGCAGAATTGCTTTTTTCTCTTTTAGCTCCGTACTATGGACAATGGAGATCCAAGAAGATAAATAGATTGGATCGAGGTGAGAGGTTTTGTAACAATATTGACAAGAATGGCAAAGTCTGGGGATGGTCGAAATTACGCTTCGGATGGGAGTTGCTTAATATTTCTCCGAAGAAAGACATTACAAAGGATGTATTCCTTTTGTGTGTTTATTATTACCGGGTAGAATAAACGAAGGAGGTAAGTGAGCTCAAGCGTCTGAATGGTAGGAACAGACTGTTTCTATCATTCCGGACGTCCTTATAACCAAACTACCGTACGTTGTAGTGTTCATTTTGAAGGCCAGTATAGCTTTGGACTTCATTCTTGGCCTCAACGTGTCACCGGATAGTTCTCCAAATACCGGAATGAAGTATTATATGGATGGTATACTAGTTTTTCTTCCTAAGAAAGAGAATTAATATCGCTTCTCAATCGATCGACGACAAGCTATAGCCATCCTTTAGTACCTGAGTGGGTCAGCATCAAACACGTCTCATTCTCGCCTGATCCAGTGTCTTCAAAGAACCTGATTGGATGTACATCAAGCTGCGTAGGGTTCCGCTACCACAGTCGATTCGCTGACTCGGACGCATCCTGCGCAGAAATCAAACCGAAATATTGAAATATATGTCAGCAAAGGAAGGGAAATATTTGTGTTTTCCTGTACGTGTTGGGTGACATCTTTGGCTTTATACGGCCTCCAGAGCAATTTTGGAAGAGGCGGAGGACTATATTTATGTGGGTCCTCGCTTCGGTCCGGCGTGTTCACGTGCCTTGATCGGAACTCGGGGAACTTTTTTTCCGTTAGGTATTTTCATAACGCGGGGATAGCGTGCTTGTTACTAATTGCAAGTTCTTGCTCACTAAGCACTTCTTTACCACCCATCCATGCCCGCCATCCAAGGAAAATCTGCAGCGAAAGTCCTTGTGTCTGGAGCGAACGGATACATCGCGATCTGGGTTGTTCGGACTCTCCTGGAGCGAGGATACTCTGTGAGAGGCACCGTTCGTTCGGCGGAGAAGGGGAGACATCTACTCGACATATTCAAGGGATACGGGGATAAGATTGAGGTTGTCGTCGTGGAGGATATCACCACAGTGCGTGGTAGTGCGATATGTGTTAGGCGGGCTGCTTACCGGGGTGGATTCGTAGGAAGGCGCGTTCGATGAGGCTGTCAAGGGCGTCGACGCGATTGCTCACACGGCGTCTCCCTTCCACTTGAAGGCTGTTGATCCTCAAGGTATGATGTACTAGCTTTCTACGCGACATATTACCTACAGTGTCTGGATAGAACTTATCGGACCAGCAGTGAAAGGCACTGTAGGAATGCTGGCTAGTGCGCTCAAGAATGGGTTGGTCTTTCTTTGCATCCACGCGACGATTAGCCTTTAATAAAGAAAATATGTGTAGCTCCTCTGTTCAACGTATCGTTGTAACTTCATCATGCGCAGCTATTCTTCACGTATCGCCTGAGCCCAAGGTTTTCTCCGAAGTCGACTGGAACGAGCAATCTATCAAGGAAGTCGGGGAGCAAGGCAAGGATGCCTCTGGAATAGCGAAATATCGTGCTTCGAAGACTTTGGCCGAGAGAGGTAAGCTTAGTTTTCGTGCTGTTCGTTCATCTGATTCCTTAAAATTGTCCTTAGCGGCCTGGGACTTCTACAAGAAGCACAAACATGAGATCCAGTGGGATCTTGCCGTTATTAACCCTCCATTTGTACACCCCTCATCTCGTTTTGTATTATCTCATTTGCTCAAATACCTTGGTCCTTCAGGTCTTTGGCGTAAGTGCCCCGCGGACTCAAGACAAACATCCCTGACCCTTTTGTAGCCTTTCATCCACGACTCCCCGAGCATAGACTCCCTCAACGAATCAGCTCGAGTATGGTACAGCACCGTCGCCAAGGCCGATGCAGGTGGCAGGTCTCCCGAGTTCCTCGCTACCCAAGGATCCTGCTGGATAGACGTGCGCGATCTCGCGGAGGGCCACACGCGCGCCATGGAGACCCCTGCTGCAGGAGATGAGCGGATCATTATATCTGTGGGACCGTTCGTATGGCAGGATTGGAGTTTGTTTCTTTTTTCTCTTTTTTGTCTTGTGTTATCTGATGCGTGGTGCAGTTGATACAGCGAACGCGCTCTCGCCGAGCCCCATACCATCGCACACGCTTCCGAAAGGTGTTCCGGATGGCGGGAAGGGGGCCAAGCATGCTGTGTATTATGATACTGCGAAGGAGAAGAAGATTTTTGGACTGAAACTTAGGACGATGGAAGAGACCGCAAGGGACACTTTGGCGGATTTTGAGAGGAGAGGATGGTAAGATAGTGAAAGCGAGAAGAAAATATGGCTGAGAAACAGCTGTATGTTTCCCCATGTAGTTGGTTGACTTTGAATGTCGTATATCAGACGAACATATAGCAGTTCCGAGTACCTCTTAGCCACTGCGGCGGGAGAAAGTATGATTTGTTGTGGGCCCGAGTTGTAGCAGGGACGACTGCCCCACTTTTCTATCCATTGCGAGAACTTTTTGCCACATTACAGTAAATTGGTTCGAGATCCTGACGTTGCGCATGATCAAGAGGTCCCGTGTCTCGTTAACAACATTCCTGTCTAATGCTGTTTGCCACGGCGGGGCTTCTGGTACTGCACATTGACGGGAAATCCTTTGTGATGTAAACGAGTTTAAAATTCTCCAGCACACGTTCGAGCACGACCGACATGTAGAGCTATACGCGCTGGGGTGCGTTCTGCTATAAGTCATTTGTTAGCTTCATGGTGGTGTCACTGTTCACAACCCCCGATTTCATCCGGGGCGGAATAGGAAAAGGCCTTGGCGAAGAAGAACGAAAGTGAGAGAAAAAGTTAAAAATTTCAGCCACTTAATAACGGGAAATTCCCATGTCGAGATCTCGGAGTGTTTCATCCTGGATGGTTGCTGGAGATCTGACAAATAAGGCTCATGTTTTTTTTTTCTTTCTAGAGTCATGGCTTACCCTCGTTGCTTGAGGGTTGGACGATTGCCAGATGAGACAGGAAATCTCAAGCCAAACATCGATGATCTTGCTAAAGTATTGTCAGGTTGATGGCATAGTGGGCATCTCCTGCCATTGTTAATACTTTATTTGGTTGTTTTTTTTTTCTTTTTTCCTTTTTTTTCTTTTGGCTCCGGTCAGAAGATGTGGCTCCACCGGTTGGTACCACATTATATTTTGTTGAATCAGGGAAACTTTCGCTTTTTTCCCATGCCGCGGGATCTGTGGTGGTGAAGCTCAATTTAAAACAACTGAGCAACTCGCTGTGTCCAAAAATATAAAAAATTTATAAAAGTGGTTCTCTAGTCAAATATGAGGAAACACAAGATGGAGAAACCGAGGAAATAAAGTAAGGTAATCACAATAGAAATAAAGACGACTTTCCGATTTTGCGCTGCTGTAAGGGAATCGAACAGGTCCCAAAAGGCTGGCTGGACAGCACGCCAAATTTCATCTTTGTCCTGCAGCGGCCAGATCCACCAGAAGTACATCATCTCGGTACACAACTGCATCCAATTGCAGATGTATCAACCAGGTTTGCTTCCGGTTAAGACTGATGAACCGATGGTAATGGTGTAAAAACAATCGAGAGAATTACGGTTCGACTCCGTATCATGGCATTCGGCGTGCAGATTGTGGATGGTTTTTGTTCCCTTCTCTGCTTAACTCTTTCACTGTTCAGGCTCAAGCCCAGGTAGTAGGTACATACCCGATTTTATGATGTGTGAAAAATTGGGCGAGTTGATATGCATAACAGCGCAGCAATAATGTCAATGTATCCTCTCAGCCCATGCACTGGACCAATGGTAGGTCATGTCTAACCTAAAATTGGTTCCGTACGGTCCCGGAGAAACTTGCGGTTCGACTCCATGTCCATGCATGGTGAGATTGTTGTGGAATTGAATTTTATCCCCTGTTATCGATAAGAGGCATCTCCGAGGCAGAGGAGCCTGTTTCCTGGGGTCCCATGTGATATTTATTACTAGATGAAATTCGCTCTACACCATGCAACGTACATAGACAGCGAGCGGCTTGCTGTTGCTCTGTACGTTAGGTTGACCTTAGATCCTCTCCCCGTGAATACTCAGTCCGCGAAACACAGAGGCTCACCGTAGGAATATTTATACTCACCCGTTTGAATGTGAGGTCATATTTCCCGGTTCCTATTCAGCCTGGAAATAAAGTTGGATCATCCCGCATTTTAGATGAGACACCGCAAAGAAAAGATCGCCCAGCCATAAACGCGCTGTGGATAAATGTACCCGAGCCAGAGTCCCAGCGTGAAGAATATCAAACAAACTAGTAAAAGGAGAATGATTACATTTTCTCCCTTGGCCCGAGTAATAGCTAAACGACGGAATGTTAGTTGTGTTTTCGGAACTCTGCGTTTCGTTAGCCCTGGTTCTGTCAACATGACTCAGTTCTGTCCTGATTAAGGACTCATACATTGCATCTCACTGCCCAGCCCAGCGCCCTCTGAACGACGTTTTTCCGTTGCTTCGTCTGGCCCTTTTCCCGCGGGAACGGCTTCAGGAGCTTATGCCTGATCACCACACCATCCTCTATCACTAGGAACACAGTTGACTCTACCCTCGAGCACGACGCTGCTGGCTCCACAAGGGTAAACTCGCCGTGATCAAGAGATTAAATCTCAGCTTGAAAGCTTTCGGTGATCCCAGGAAGAGGGATCGTTTCGTGATTCTCCGCAGACGGCGGGTCCGTTTCGATTCTCATACAAGAAAGTATGACTTGTCAGAAACATCGTCCACTAAAGGCCTAATCTTCTCCAGGGGCCTTGTCTGCAGTCGATTAGATGATTTCTGAGGCGGAGGCGGCGGGGTGTTTACAGCGGCTTTCCGTAGTAGGTTATGCGAGGACCGCTGGCTGGGGAGTAGCAAAGGAGATGTTGGAGGGGATGTTTCATGAAAGGGGGCATCAAAGGGGCTTTGTGCTTCATAGGTATTGCAGGTCCCATACATCTTCATGCACAATCCCATGTTTGTCAATCTTAATAATATCATGAATACTTTTGCGACAGTGCTAAGTCTTCATCATAGACCATCCCCATTCTGAGAACTGGAAAGTGCCAGAACAAGGTATTCAGTACATGGTATGTCTGAAGTCTGAAATCAAGATCAAACAATCCACTCCCTATTCCTCATCAAGTGGAACAGTTATTTGCCCACCTATATAAATTCAGGATGTTACAGTAAATGACACATATCGATGATCCTGCTCAGTTAAACTACTCCTTTTGAATCTCAACTATGGCATTCATCTGCCATGGCTGCAAAAAGAAATTTCATACATGTGAAGCCATCATGGTATGTGAGTGTGGTGAATTATGGTGCACCCAGTTATGTGTAGACATCATATGTCACATCCATTATTTTCCTACTAATGAACTACTGAAATTCACAAATCCAGTGCTTCCAACTTGATTTTGATGAGGTCCCAAATCTACCCCATAGGTACATTGACAATTACCCAAGAATCAACTAAGAAAGAATATCTCCCAGCCCAAGTGGTATTTGAGGTCTGATATTCCAACAAAACAGTATATCTGAACCTCATTCCCATTTTCACAAACTCAAAATTGAGGTGCAAGACTCAGCTACTACACCAGTTTCTCTCATGTTCATATTCCCAAAGGGAAACTATGAGGATATAACCAACTGCATACTGGTGCTGGACAACATCTTTGGTTGGCATGAGCTTGCCTGTTGAAGGTTCAGTGGGGCTGATCCACCAATTCAGATTTGGTACTGCAAGAAGAGAATACAGCCAGGTGTCAATGATCTGAATGCAGTGAATGCAACCACTGTCAGCCTCACTGGTTCTCAGGAGTGAGAGAAATTATGGTATGGTTCAGCTGTTGCTCTAATGCTCATGAAGGATGGGCCTCATCTGAGGTATGTAAATATTGAAGAACATCATCTTAATGTTTTCAGAAGATTCTTCACGAGTTGTACTAGTTCCTATACCTTTTCATTCCCAGACATGAGTTTTCTTTTAATGCATTCTGTGTGACATGAATCTGAGGAGGTGCTCATGCTGCATTCATTGTCTGACATGCTGTCGGGATCAATGAACCCATGTCCAAGGAAGGGACCTTGCGAATGCACCTTAGAATAGTGCGATAGATGCTATGACCCAAGAGTTTCCTTTTGACATAATGGCTTGTAACGATGATAACGATGAAGCTTCGACTGTTGCCTGGATTGATATCCATAACAATGTCATCTGTATTCATGTTCATGAACTAGAGGAGTCATCGACCTCCATGTATATGATTAGAAGATGGGCATGTGCAGATTTGTATACCCTTATTTGCATTTTAGGTCATGGTGGAACCATATCGCTAGGTCCAAGAGAGGGAATCGGCAATGGCTCCTCTCGTAGTCCTTGCACCACTCACTTGGCGATTAAAGCGTATTTTGGGAACCGGTGAATATCAGACAAATAATACATTACGGAGACCACAGACGGTGCCGATTTTTCTCTAATTTCGCTAACCGGCTCTAATCCTTATATAGAACAAGTCATGGCCAACAAATGAAATATCGCATGCGAAAATTATGCAAGTCGATTCACGTTTGCAGACATCGTAACTCGAACCAAGGAGAATGCAGCACTGCCCCCTATATCCTCCAGTGCGCACAGTGGGATGGAAGACATCAAGGATGCACTGAAATAAGTCAAAGTTTCCCTATCTGACATTGAACTCATACAGAAACTCCTTCATGAAGAACACACCAGGCTCGATGAAGAATGCTCTGACTGCGTCTCAGCTCTTTCACGTATCCATTTCATTCCAGTAGAAGTTTTGACCGACATCTTGGTTTTGGCAACCGAGGATCCGTACGACACATTTGACTTGAGGAACGGCCCTTGGATGATAGGTCGGGTATGTAGCCAATGGAGGGCAATCACAGATCGCAACGGTCGCTTGTGGGCCAACATAGTGATTCACTTCCACGGGCCACAAGGCGATGAAGGGGGTAGAGTCGCAATGTTCCAGCATGCTCTCTCCAGGACAAAAAACCGACTGTTATCATTCTCCTTCACTCCGTGCGAAGAGCTACACTGCCTTTTGAGATCTCTGGTCGATCAATCCCATCGCTGGGACCGTGTTTACCTACGTCTAGGGATAGGACTATTTTTTGGACCAAGTTCAATCGGCAGAACGTTTCCGAACCTATCGTACTTGAACATCCGAGTGATGGGGGCGGAGGATTGCAAGGTCATATTCGGTGCCTTCGAAAACGCTCCGAAGCTGACAGTGCTACACCTGGAAGTACAGGAAGCCAACACGCCAATCATTCTTCGTCCTTTCCAAACTTGCTTGAATTCAAACAGACTGGCGGCAGGAATCCTCGTAGTCATCTCCTCCCAGAGCGGAGCATCCGCTATTATCTCGAGTTCATTCAGAACAGCCCAAATCTTCGGTCATTCGACATGACGAAATACGCGTCCGAGTCGGTTCGGGAAACACTGCCGGGCGTTTTCAACTCGTCCCTTCGCGAGTTGACCGTGTGCGCACCGGAATTAAATGACAAGTTAACCTTGACCTCCTTGGAGACTTTCAATCTGTACATTGCCGACCGGAGCTTCAGTACATATGTGGACAAGGGGTCCATCGCTCTCCATCGTCCCATCGAGAGATCCTGTGGCTCACTGGCCAGGCCGTCCCTTTGCGATACGGGGCATTACATGATAGGACCCTCGTTCATTATTGACATCCTAGCCTCGACCTCCTGCCTCCGGGAGCTTCATATAGAATGGAGGGAACGGAGTCAGTCAGTAATGGATGAACTGCAATATGTGATCATGGAGATGTCGAATTTGAATGCATCGCGGCGCCCTCTCATTCCACGGCTGGAGCGGTTCACGATCCGTGTAGACACCGCACCAACTGAGGATCCGTTTGTTGATTTTAAGCCCGGATAAAGATCGATAAAGTGTTCGTTGATATGATCTCATCTCGACAAAGCTTAAGCATGAGGATTTCATCACTGGTGATAGGGGCTATGCCTGGGCCTTTTGTCATTGGAAGAGAAGAACATGATTGACTGGGGGAGTTGAAAGATGATGGATTCAATGTTTCTATTGTAGTGCATAGAAATGATAGTACTGTTGACATGCCCTCTCCATGTTCAGGCATGTAAAATTGCAAAAATTGAGAATACATGGACCACATTTCAGTCTAGTAAGCATGTAACTGAGAATAGAATAAGAGCACACAGAAACCTAGCCAT